CTGGTCACAGTGGTCACAATGGTCACACTGACTGATTGAGTGTTGATTTCTTCTTTCCAGGTTCCGTTTATATATGATTTCTCAGATATTCAGTTCGCACCGAAAATTGAAAGCAAATGCTATTTGATGTTGGTTTGGTGCTCTATGATGTACTGTTTATGAGCTTTGTTCAGATACATTCGATGTATTGATACTTTCTATGTGTTTTATGAGAGTATTTTATTCATTACATGTTCTTGCATGCTAGATCTGTTATGAAATCCATGTATCATTATGAATGATACTAAACTCCCTAGTCTTGTGTCGTTATGGGAATAACGACATAATAAGACTAGTATGATGTGTGATTGATGATCACATAGATGATCATAGGTATTGGATACGATCACAATCATAGGTATTCGTTGCAGAACGGAATACTGGACTGACCCGCATGAGATTGTCACATGGACTAGCGTCATGACTTGAATCTCATACGACGATTCTATGATTGGATCCTAAGACCTGAGATATCTACAGAATCCAACATGAGGAGTTGCGTGCTTTGATTACGTCAAACGTCCTGCGTAACAGGAGGACTATAAAGGCGTGTATCAGGTACGAAACGAATCATGTACTGGATTGTAGATAGTCAATACGGGATTTGTACCTCTCGTAAAAGAGAGAGATATCGCTGGGCCCCTCGTGTGAGCAAGACTGTAGAAATGTGTGGCCGCACTATAGACGAACGTCGTCTATTTCAGACAGTCGAACTCAGTGAACGAGAAAGCAGTCGAATCAGATAAGGTGGCTTGTCCATGCCTTATGTTCGACATATGATATCGCGATACAAAAGGATCATCAGTCGGAATCATCACTGGCTTTCGTATGATCACAAACAAACTCTATTCGAGATAGGTAGTCATAGTGTCTTGCTAGAGACCGCTTATGACTTGTATTACCGGAATGGAGATTCTGTGTTTTACTGCTATTCCGGATGAGCCTACAGGGTCACACACAATAGGGATGGACAAGTACGTGTGCTAAATTATCCCGATTAGGAATCCTAATTGGATTGAGATTCCTAATTGGAATAGGAATCCTAATGGGATTAGGAGTCCTGTTATGTATAGGAATCCTAATGAGATTAGATTTCTATTACATCTAGGAAACCTAATGAGATTAGAATTTTAATAGGTTTAGGAAACCTAATTAGATTAGGATTCCTAGTAATCTATTCCTTGTCAAATTAGGATTTTTGGAAAGTGTATATAAGGAGAATGTCTTCTAGGGTTTTAAAAAAGGAAAAAAAAGAAAAAGAAAAAAAAGAAGGAAAAATAAAACCCTAAGCCTCCAAAACCTTGCACACAAGAGAGATCGAGATCTCTAGTCCTAGCAGACAAGTTCCAAGGTGTTGGAATCCATCCCGACGTGTGGATACGTGTAGAGGGCGAGGTATTCTTCCTGCCTAGAGTGATCGGACGAACATATCAATTGATACAGGCCCCGGATCGATTGAGGTAAGCGTTCTAACGTTTCTATGATTCAATAGTAGCATGGTTCTAGGGTTTCATTAAAATTTTTGTTTTATATCCGCTGGCAAACCCTAGAATCGATCTCTTAGGAATTAGATTCGCTCATGAGATCCCAGGAAACCCAACAGACATGGCGTCAACCGGTAGCGTACCGAGTTTGACAATGCGATCTATCCTTGAGAAGGATAAGCTGACCGGGACGAACTTCTTGGACTAGTATCGTAACTTGAGAATAGGTCTCAAGCACGATAAGAAGTTGTACATCCTGGAAGGGGCTCTACCACCAGAGCCTGCGGCCAATGCCACAGAGCCGTCAGGGATGCTTGGTTGAAGCATCAGACTGACGACATTGAAATCTCCTGTCTCATGTTGGGAAGCATGACCCCGAATCTGAAGAGGTAGTTTGAAGGAAAGAACGTGTTTGATATGATCAATCAGCTCAAGACCATCGGAATCCTTTCCGCCGTGTGGATACGTGTAGAGGGCGAGGTATTCTTCCTGTCTTAAGTGATCGGACGAATTCTTCAGTTGATACAGGCCCCGGATCGATTGAGGTAAGCGTTCTAAAGTTTCTGTAAGATCATGCATGCTAGGTTTTAGGGTTTCATTAAAATTTTTGTTTTACATCCGCTGTGCAAACCCTAGAACCGATCTCCTAGGAATTAGATTCATTCTAGAGATCTCAGCAATCCCAACACTTTTACCATTAGACCACACAGATTTGAGTTTTTTTTTTTTTGCAATATTGTAAAAAACATGTTCTTTTGTTAATAGATATCATACACCTTTAAAAACAACGAATTAACATAAAATAATTAGGTTATGTTTATTTGTCCAATGATTCCATTATATTTATCTTTCTTAGTAGGGGTGGACACGGGCGGGTACCCGGACTTTTTAGGGTATCTTTATTTCGATCTCGGTCTCGTCGGGTTTTTGATTGGAATGTCTCGATCTCTATCTCGCGAAGTCCGGATACCCGAGATTCGGGTACCCGAGACACGAGTTCGGGTACTCGCGATACCTGAACCCGAACTCGTGTAAAATTTAAAAAAAAATCTGAACAAATCTACAAAATTAATACATCAATAACATCAAATATATCCAAAATATTTCATAACTATAAATCGAATAAAATCCAAAATATATTACATAAGTTCAACATCAAAAAACATAAAACTCACAAGTTACAATTTTTCTTCGGGAACAGAATATAAAACTCACGAGTTCTAAGAGAGTTGCATAAGAAAGAGCCAAAAATAGTAGATTATTAGTTCTGATAGTTGAATATAGTTGAATTCACGAGATCAATGCATATCATAATGTTCTTAACTGACCATTAAGAACATTGATCGACGAGACAATGCTTCTTCACTTGAGCATTGGTTTCACCTTTCTGCAGGCATCCCCGACATGATTTTGGAACTTTTTGTGAATGGAGGAGTGCAAGGCAGAGACCCAATCGAGACAGAGAAAAGCAGAGATGGTGGAGAGACCGCAAAACTGAGGGAGCAAGCCGGAGATACCGAAGTGAGAGTGAGAGAGAGTAAGCTAGAGATGGAGATACCGGTATGTGCTCGTCACCGGAGGATGAAACTGAGATCTGGCAGAGAGTACAACGGAGAACATGACGGAGAGCAAGGTGAAGATAAGGCTGAACAGATCTCACAAGCAAAGATCGATCTGGAGAGAGAGATGTTTGAAACTTGTAAAAAAAAACAAAAAGAGGCGCAGAGTTGTGTGAGAGAGAGAAAGACATGATTAGAATTAGGGTTATTGAGGATATTTAGGTAAATTTATTAAAAATTAAGGGTATTTTAATAATTTCTTTATTTTGCCGGGTATCTGTGAGATAACCCGTCGTGAGATATTCAAACCCGAATCCGAACTCGAAACTCGGGTTTTTCATCCCACAAAACTCGCTCTCTATCTCATTATCTCATAAAACCCGAGATCCGGATACCCGCGAGATAAGGTATCCAGAAACCCGCGGATCTCGGGTAAAAATGTCTAGCCCTATTTCTTAGCGGTCTTTTTTATGGTTACGACAAAACACGCTGTTGAAGCACTTACAAAAATAAGAATAGCACAAAATTTTAAATTTTTTACAGGTGAATTTCTAGACCATTAAAACAAATATAAATATATCGAATGCAGAAAAAGCTTTTTAATATCAGTCTTTGGTTTAAATTATCTTGAGATTCTCATATATTATTTTGATTCTATAATATTTTGAGATTTGAGGAACAAATTAAATATCATTTTTTAGATTTTAATATCGTATTTTAAAGAGAGTATCTAAAACTGTCAAACTTTCTCTAACCTATAAACCCGACAATCATTCCAAAAGGTCCATTATTATTATATCATTTATTCTATAAAAAAACATCATAATCGTGGTTATGACGCCGTTTATACGATACATAATCTTGCTTTTTTTGTCTAATTAAAAATTAACATTGTTTGACTGAAGAGGATGATCGCAGTTATCACCGTGAGGATTGTCCACGCCGTCGACGTTCCTCAGCCAGAACGTCACGTCGAAGGAGGCCGCGCCGTTAGGGACGTCATCCATCACCGCCTCTTGTCCCGCCGGGAAGAATATTCCGGTGCGGGGGTGTGGGACCCAACAAACGGAGTCTTTGTTCCTCGTCGAGTCTTTGTGGATGGAATCTTCAGGTTTCGGAATCTGATTTGGCGTTGTCGTTTTGCTTGTTGAACGTACTTGAAATTGCTTCGAAACGCTTTAAAAAAAGTTGTGTTAGATGCGGTCAAGAGAAAAAAGAAGAAACCCCGAAATCGCGAAGGAAAGGAATGAATTTTAGGTCGGTTTTAATTTGGATGGAATTGTTTTTTTTTTAACTTAAAAAATTCACCGAATTTTCGATCTAACTATATCTATCAAGGTTAGAAGACAATTTTTATACCATAATTAAATTATATATATCTTCCGACACTCACATGGGATATGAGATATGAAACAAGCACAACCCTACACTTTTCAATCATGAACCACTCGGTCAACTCCAATTTGATAATTTGGATGGAATTGTTCTTATCCTATTTTGATAAAACTAAACCGAAATAAATAGAACCAAACTAATTTCATTCTATCTTTAAAAAAATGAAAAAAAAAATTATTGAAAAAGAGTACGTCCATGGTGAGAAAAAAAATTTTGAATTGAAAACAAACAAATAGAAAGAATCGGATGAAATTTAATATTTTTTTAGAATAAAAAATAAGTTAAACTTTGATAAACCAAATAAACATTTTATCGAAATAAAACAAAAACAAATAAATGTAGTAAAAAATTATGTTTCTTAGAACAAAAAAAAAACAAAAGTTAACAAGAGCTAAACCAAATTTAAATCGAACTTGGTTCCATTTCATTTTTGTTCAACTTCCTCACTTTGTGATTATGCCTTTGTACGATTTTGCAGAAGAATAACGGAAAAAAAAAAGTTCAATATTCTTTTCTGTGCAGAGGTACTGATTCGATGTTTTTTAACTATATATAATTTATAAATATAATAAAAAAACTGGTTTATATTATTTCTATTTTATTTTTATTTGTGTCCTATTAATCTTCATTTTTTTTTTCATGTATGTTTGCAAATCGTAGATGGCGTTACCAAAACAACTTCTTGTTAGAAAAGGGACACTTTAATTAATTTCCGAATAATGTAATCCTATAGAGGTCGCCACTAGTTGCATTAATTAATGCCTGTATAAAAAGTTTTTTTTATAGCCAATTGATAAATTATGATTTATAATAAATAAAGGAAATTCAATAAGATAAATGGTTTCTTAACACAAAATAAAGAGAAGAGTGGTGGTGAGAGACTCACCTAAGCAACAGACTTGGTGCTTTAGCAATCACAGTTCTTCCCATCAACCGTAAAATCAATATCTAAATTACGAATACAAATATTAGTATTATTATTTATGTAAATATGTATTATAAATAAAATATGTGAAAATATATATGTGTATATATTTATATATATTGAAATGCAGAAATTGTTGGAGATTGTGTTGTGAAGTCCCCGTCCTATATATACACACATGGGACTGTACGGGTAGAATCTGGAAAGTGTAAACGGGAAAGAATTGAAAATGTTTTAAATTTTTTATGTTCACAAACTAACTGAAAAAAAAAAAGAAATGAAGAGATTCTAGAAGATAAAAAAGCATGAAAATGAAATAATTCATTTAATCGTGAAAAATTGCATAAATGTGTGCCATTAGTTTTTGTAACACAGGAATTTCGAATTAATCAACGCTATCATGTGTCTGATGGAGAATAACTTACCATTCTAGGCATTCAATGTATGTTGGGATAAAAAAAAAAAGCATGAAAATGAAATAATTCATTTAATCATTAATAAATGCATAAATCTCAAGTAATGTGTGCCATCAGTTTTAAATTTGGTATTTTCTAAATAGTTTTAGATTTAATTAACGTTTTTATGAATATAGGTTTTTAGTGATTTCTTGAAAAATCATTAATATGATACGGGTTTGACTCATTCATTCAACTGAATAAATATAAATCCAAAATTTCCATATGATCCGTATTATGTATCATATGTCAATAAGTAATTTTTGTTTAAAAAAAGTATGCCAGAGTTTCAGTTTTCTCTTATTTTTATGTAATTTGTTTTTTTATGTAAAAGAGGAAAAGTCTTGATATTCTTTTTTTTTCGAGTTTTGGATATAAGAAATAAAAATATAACGATATCAAAGAGTTTTATGATCAGTTATATTCTTTACATATAATTCTTTTTTTAAATACGTTTTACAGTTTTATGATCAATTATGTTTAACTCAAAGTAATAATAGATAAGCCTATATATAAAGGCTTTATAGTTTTACTTAATTTTCTGTCATATGATATTGTTTCGGTCAATGAATTTAATTATGTATATCAATATGAATAGATCTAATTTTATCTAGATATTAATAGTTTAGATGGTGCATTATTTATAAAAGAAAAGTAGATATCTATAACATATAAAATATAAGGGCTTGTTATGACATTAATAGAGGGGTCTAATATGATGTGATTGAATTTCTATAGCGATATTACGCATGATAGAAAGTATTAAGTCATGAATGTCAATTATAGAACTTATAAATAAAATTAAACAGCATCCATAATAGAGTTTTAATGTTAACTCAATTATAGTTAGTATTATCTATAAGCTGACAATAGAAAAGTTTTAACGGATTTCAATGTATCAATAATTATATAACTAACATATCTAATATAATAGAAAACTGAGACATATTGATAGATGTGGATGAAATATTTTTATATAGCTCATCATTAACTCTCTAATATCAAGTTTGATAGTTACACGTGAATTACAACCCTATTAAATAAAACAATAGAATATTAAAGATCATATTAAAATATGAGAAAGAAGCTTAAAGAAAAAAAAAATAACAGTTTATCTCAAATTTCATGACAATCTCGATTAGGGGTGAACAAGAATCAGATATCCAAAATTTTTTCGATATCCATATCCGTATCTAACATATACAAATATTAAATTTGTTATTCGTATCTGATAAGTAATTTTTCAATATCTATAATTTCAGATATCCATAAAAATCACAAATATTGGCAAATATTCATTTCTGATATAACAATAACAAATATGAAAATTAAAATTACAAAAGAAATTCAAATACAAATAAAATATATAATCTATCAAATTAATACAAATGGTATTCAAAGTTTAAAATACTCAAATACAAATATAATCATAAACATCTCATACAAACATATTTAAAATATAGATTTAAAGATTAAGGATTAAAATCTCCATAGAAAACATGTATTGAGTCTCCTAAAAATTTGCAAAGAAAATATTCTAAACTATAATATGAATTAATTGATAAAGAGATTTTTGACAGAGGCTCAAAGAACCAGAAAAAAATGGTAGATTAGGAGAGAAAGAAGAAGAGAGGGAGAGAGGGGGAGAGAGAGAGAAGAGACACGAATAAAAGAGAGAAGATAAAGAATGGTGAAACAAAAAACTAGAATATATTTTGTTTTTATAAAGTTACCCTTAAATAAAAAATAATAATTACCAAATTAATCATATATTATTTTAATATTAAATAATATTAGAAAAACTCTATAAAAAAATTTTAATTTGTAAAAAGATAGAAAACTAATTTCTAAAATTTTCACATGATAAATTTATTTCAAAACTTGTAAAATATATTAATATAATTTTCAAATTTGTTAATTGGTATCACAAAAAACCTTAACAACGTTAATTCATAAATTAGTTTGAAAATTATAATGATATATTTTATAAGATTGAATATTATAATGACATATTTTGTAAATTTTGTAATAAATTTGTCAAGTGAAAAATTTAGAAATTAAGTTTCCACCATTTTACAAGTTCATGAACTTTAATGGCTTTTACCCTTAATATTATTAATAAATTTGTCGGGTATTGTGATACACATGGTTATAGTGGGGTATATATGTGTACATTGGATGCCATAATTATAGTTTGTCATACGCTCTACGATTGGAGTCGTGGTATAGTACGAATTGGACGTGTTTGTTATTCAAACCTTGATGAACCACGTAATAGTATCGATTCTCATAAAAGAGTCAATACTATTATGATGGTGACGACAGTAGCTAGTATCGATGGATGAAAGAGTCAGTATTGATACACGTGCGTGTATCACGTAGTAGTATATGTGGACAAAAGAGTTAGTACAACTGCAATGACGTGGGTTACACAGTCAGTACCGGTGGATGAATGAGTTAGTACTGTGCGAGTTGTGTGTTATTGAGCCAATACCGCTTGACGAAAAAGTAAGCACTATGCATAGATGTGAGTTCTGTAGTAGTACCGGTGGAAGACAGAATCGGTACTACTACGAGTGTTGGTTTAGTACTCTATGATGTACTATTATGCGAGCTTTGTTTAGATGCATTTGATGTATTGACACTTTCGGTCTATTTATGGACGGATGAGTGTTTTATTCATTACATATTGTGCATACTTATGTGTTATGAAATCCATGTATTGTTATGAACAATACTAAACTCCCTAGTCATGTATCATTGTGGGAATGATGATATACCAAGACTAGTATGATGTGTGATTGATGATCATATAGATGATCATAGGTATTGGATACGATCACAATCATAGGTATTCGTTGGAGAACGGAATACTGGAATAACCCGCATGAGATTGTCATATGGACTAACATCATGATTTGAATCTCATATGGCGGTTCCATGATTGGATCCTAAGACCTGAGATATCTACGGAATCCAACATGAGGAGTTGCGTGCTTTGAATACGTCAAATGTCCTGCGTAACAGGAGGACTATAAAGGCGTGTATCAGGTACGAAATGAATCATGTGTTGGATTGTAAATAGTCAAGATGGGATTTGTACCTCTCGTAAAAGAGAGAGATATTGCTGGGCCCCTCATATGAGCGAGACTGTAGAAATGTGTGGCCGCACTATAGACGAACGTCATCTATTTCAGACAGTCGAACTCAGTAAATGAGAAAGCAGTCGAATCAGATAAGGTGGCTTGTCCATGCCTTATGTTCGACATATGATATCGCGATACAAAAGGATCATCAACAGGAATCATCATTGGCGTTCGTAAGATCACGAACAAACTCTATTCGAGATAGGTAGTCATAGTGTCTTGCTAGAGACCGCCTATGACTTGTATATCCGGAAT